ACTTCACCACTGAGCTAAAAGGGTGTCTGGGGTCCATACTCTTGCGGTTTCTCCAGTCTCCTTTAGGCCAGTAAATCTGGTCTTTTTTTTGTAAGTTAGAATTATGCTCTACATCCTTCTCCAGCTCTGTCCAGAACCCTCTGTTGTGATCCTGGTCAGAGCAGTCAGTGGTGGTAGCCGTGATCTCCCTATTCTTGACCCCAAATAGCATGGCCAGGATTAGGGTGGGGCAACAACTTGAAAAGCCTGGGTCAGATCCCATCTTTATTTAAAAATGTGATATTCTGTTCATCATAGATTTTTTTTTTGCATTAATTTTGATTTTTAAAAATATTGCATTAAAATACTATTTATCTTGATTGCTGAGTTTTTTAGCACCCTTTAAAGTTCTGTGCCTGAGGTGAGTGCCTCACTTGCCTCTCCCTAGACCCGGCCCTGCTAAATAGTGTTTATCTCAGATCCAGCCTGAGCAGCTTAGGCCCTTGTATAATTCAGGGGAAGGTATTTCCACTTTTCTTTGGCATCAATTTTCCTCTCTGTGAAACTGGGAGGTAGGGCTCTGTAAAAATGGCGTGGGGGCAGCATCTGACCTCCTCTAACTTCGTGAGGGGGAGAGAGAATCACCATCAGCATCAGCCCAAAGCTGATTCCTATGAGGCAGAGGTCAGACACACCTGACCTCTCTACCATCTTTACCAGTTCCTCACATGGCACTCTCTACTTCTCTGCTGGCTTCAATAATTCATTGCAGTGGTCACACGGAACTCACAGACCATACTCACAGTTATAGGGTTTATTAGGGAAGTAACAGGTTACAATGCATGCTCAGGAATGCTCAGCATACAGTTCTTTAATCAGAACAGCCTCTTGCCAGCCCTGCCCGCAGGCAGGCTTCTCTCTGGCCCTCAGCCTCTGCCCTCTTAAGACAAGTATTACAAAGATGTTTTAGCTCTGCAGGTAAGTAAACCTCAGGTGCTCAGCCCCGAAGCACCCTACTCCACCAACAAGCCTCCTACCTGCCCAAAGGCGGTCAGCTTTCTCACTGCCCACCACATAGTCTTCTACCTCTACTGCTGCTTCTTTTGTCTGTCTTCAGTATCACAGATAGCTCTCTCACTCTTCTGGTTTAAGGAGCTTCTCAGAACAGATTTCCTGTATCCTTTGGGACATGCTCCACTCCTGGCTCTCCCTTCTTGGTGGTGGCGAGATCCTATCTCCGCCTTTTTGATGGCTCATTTTAAGGCTAGCGGGATGGTAAAACCAACCAATCCCCTTGTTAGGGTTCCATAGACCTTATTTGCATGGTCCCATACCCACACGGGTGGCCATGCATCTTATTTACATTATTAGTAAGCTGTTTAATCCACTTGTTGGGCCACAATTACCTTATTTGCATAGTCCCACCCAGGTGGTTTATACAGCCTTTCTTGCTATGTTCTCCCAAGTGGGTGGGAGTTACAAGACCATGGCAAGGAAGGCTATATAAAAGCAACCCATTGCACTGCAGTCTCCACGGTTCTGTTGGGCCTTGAAAAAAAGAATTATTGGAGGATAACCCTTCTTCAAAGAAACCCTGGTGCCAACTCTTCTGACAGGGGTTGGACTGGACTGTGGGACATAAAGTGGTACTCGTGAGGAGTGTGCCTCTTAGCTCAAGTAGATACAAGAGACCAAAGGGCAGCTTCTGTCCAGAGGTGAGATGGGAAGGCAGAGAGAGTTAGGAGCTGGTTGAATGGACATGTGGAATCAGGGGCAGAAAGGAGGAGTGTGCTGTCACAGAATGGGGTGAGCAATTAGGGTCACATAACAATGTATGTATAAAATTTTGTATGGGAGACTAACTTGAAATGTAAACTTCATTTAAACTACAACAATAAAAAAGAAAAAGGAAAAACAAAAGCCCTGGTGACACAACGAGGCACAAGCACTCAGCTGCTAACTGAAAGGTTGGCAGTTGGAACCCACCCAGCAGCTCCAGGGCTGGATTAAGGCATGGGAGGGCGATAAACACTGATAATCTGTGGTGCCCCCTCCTCTGCTTACTCAAGCATTTGAACAGGATATGTGAGTTATAGATATACATGTATCTCTGTGTGTTTGTGTGTCTTAGCTATCCGTAATGTAACTTCTTTTTAAACGCCACTATAATATTAGCGATTGAACACAAACGTGGCATACGCCATTTTAGCAGAATGAAATGAACTGGACTATAAAATTTTTAGTGGGTGAATGTAGCAAGAGTTAGACTTGACAGCCCGTCCCCATCTCTTGTTTATTAGAAAGAAATAGCATACTCCCAAGAGATCTGCTGAGATAAGGAGTTTCAATTACACGCGATGGGACCATAGGAGACAGATGTCAGCGAAGGTGTTGAAGTGGCAGCGGCCTCATAGTTTAAACAACCTTGCTCGTGGGTGCCCTCTGAGCCTGCGTGAACTTTATTTCCGGCCAGCACATTCTCACACACTGGAGCTGGTATCAGTGCCCTGCTAGTTCCCTTCCACTGTGGCGCTCGCTTTTCCTTGTGTCCTGTCTGCTTGGCATCCATGGGTCTTTGCTTTGGACAGTTGGTGCCCCTGTTTTGTTGATGCCCTAAACACTGCTTACTCTGCTTATTGGGTAATCTGTCCCTGCTGCTGTCCTAAAGATTACAACTGAGAAAATCCTATGGAGCAGTTCTACTCTGTCACATGGGGTCGCTCCGAGTCGTAGTAGACTCGATGGCACCCAACAACCCTTCATCATGCTGGGTGAATTTTCATAAACCGAACTCACCTGTGTACCTAGTTCCCAGACAGAGACTGCGTTTACCAGCCCCCTCCCTGCCACTCCTGGTCATGGCCCACCTCCGGGACCCCCACCGGATTTCTAAGAGTTGGTTTTGCTGCCTTTTCCATGGTGACCTTCAGAGAGAGAGCGAGCCGGGCAGGCGGGTGGGCTCCAGCAGGGACTGGTGTGTCGCCCCTACCCCTGAGCCCCGACTTGTGCTTGGAGAGTTATGGAATACTTCTCCTCTTCCCCTGACCTCTCAGAATCAACTTGGGCCTGTGTCCCCAGGGCTGGGCTTGCGCCCAGGGGCTGCCCTTGACTCGCTGTCGGTGGGTGGGTTCCCTCCCCTCTCTGTGCCTCAGTTCCCTCCTCTGTAAAATGGGGGCTAATACCATTAACTTCCAAGGACAGAGAGCTCAAGGAGGGAATGAAAATTTTAAAAAAATTGGAAAAAAAGGAAAAAGAAATCGATAGCTTTTCCCTTTTTTTGTTTTCCTTTCTTTGTATTTTCTTTTTGTTTTCCTTTTCACTCCGTTCTTTCCCTCCTTCTAGGTCTTTCCTTGTTTGTTTTCCCTTGGCCTCTCTCTTCATTCCTTTTGGTCATTTTTCAACTTTTCCGGGTCCCCAGCCCTGGGTCTCGCCTCCCGCCAGTCCCCGGAGCACACACAAAGGTAATGTCGAGACTGCTAGGCGCCGCCCCACCCTTGCCTTCCCGGGCTCCGGCTGCTGTTCCTATTGGCCGGGGAGCTCCCGGGGGTGGGTCCAAGGACGGGTCCGCCTAGAGCCCGCCCCGCCCCTGCCGCCCCAGGCGCCAGCAGTGGACTCCATTGGCCTGGGAGCCCCAGGGGCGGGGCCAGGGCAGCAGCGAGCCCGCCCCCGGGCTACGCCCCCTCCCCAGAGCAGCTCTCCCAGTCAGAGGCTAGCAGCTGGCGGAGTGGAGTTGAGCGGATCGCCAGGTAGGTAGATTTTGGGGGGCCCAGGAAGGGCATGTGGGGCGCCCCTGCTCCAAAGGCCCTGGAGCCACCGGGATAGGGCGTCTGTCGCCTCTGCCGCCGGGGACCCCATTCAACCCCCTAGTGCAGGGGCCTCTAGCTGGCCGGCAGGGGGCTCCAGGCCGGGTAGCTGTAGGCCCCTCGGAAATGCCCCTGCCTCCGGGGCCTGTTGGGAAGAGCTGGTTACGCATCCCCAGAGGAAGGGTGGGTGTGGCAGCAGCTGGAGGGACTCGAGGCCGACGTCGGGCAGCACTTCCCGCCTGGCCACCTGTTTTCTGCGTGCCGGGAAAGCCCTTCTCTCCCCGGCCCCCGGCCACCGCTTTCGCCTGCAGGCTGGGCAAGCGTGGGGCGACTGGCGGTGCGGTGGGGCGAGGCGCGAGGGGCGCCGGATGGGGGTTGAGCCAACCCCCCCTGGCCGGGCCGCGCCAGCTGTGGGCTCCGGGGTGGGACGGTGGCCGGGCCTGGCGGGAGAAAGGAGGGGGCTACTATCCTGGCGCCGCGAGATTGGCCGAATCTAGGAGAGGAGGAGCCGCCGGGCGCGCTCTCTGTGTTTGCGCCCAGATGGCGGGCCCCCGAGGCAGCGAAGGAAAACTTCACCCGCGCCCACAGGCTCCCTCCCCCACCGGCCGCCGAGGTTTGCAGGCAGGAAATGCCGCGCTGTTTTTTGATTTTTCAAAAGGAAGCCTCTGGCTCCACAGCTTTTCTGGGGTTGGAGTGGATGTGTCTTTCGGGGAGAGAGGGCGGAGATCAGCTCTCCCAGGCAGGGCCCCCGCTGTCATACTTGCGGGTGGCTCATTACAAAATAGGAGGCCTCTCACAGCCTGTCTCCTAATCTGTACATTTGGGATAAGGAGCCCTGGTGGTGTAAGGGTTAAGCACTCGGCCTCCAGCCTAAGGGTTGGCGGTTCTAACCCACTCAGCAGCTCGGCGGGAGAAAGACCTGGCGATCTGTTTACGTATAGATTACAGCCTAGAAAACCCTATGGGGGCAGTTCTACTCTGTCACATGGGATCACTGTGAGCTGAAATCGGCTGGACATCGAAATGGACTTAGCGGCACCTAACAACAACAAAAGCTTTGGGATATAGTATTTCCTGTCATAAAGGCTTGTGTGAGAATTGAAAGAAATGGCTAGCCCAATGCCTGGAGAAACGTTAGCTACTATAGTTTTTAATTGCTCTTTGCACCCCCGTCTTATCCCTCCAATCCTATCTCCATTCCGAAGCCAGAGAGAACTTGTAAAAACAGGGTTAGCATCAACGCGCCCCCACCAGCTTAAAACCATCTTCTCGCGTCCCCACTGTCGTCTAAGTCCCAAACTTTTCACCAGGGCTTTCTGTTATGGCCCTGGCAACCCTCTCCAGCGCTCTGCCTCCAGCCCTCCCTCCCTCCCTCCCTTCCTTTCTCTGGGCCTTTTCCCCGGCAGGTCGCCGGGAGTGAGCTCCCCCACTCGTGAAGTCATCCTTTAAGACTCAACTCAGGGTCCCCTCCTCCAGAGGTGGCTGACCTGGCTCCCCAGGCTGGGTGGGGGCATCCTTGGGACCCCCACCTCCCTCTACGCTCAGGGGCAGCCTCAGTGGGTTCTCAAAGCTGGCCTGTCTCCCCCTCCCCCCACCCGTAGCCTCCCAGTGAGCAAGGAGTAGCGGGGAGGGGGTCGGAGTAGCGGGGAGGGGGTCATAATGGTCTGACCTAGGTCCACCGACAGGCCCTGGGGTCCTGGGGTGGGGTTGAGGGTGGGTTCTGCTGAGAGGGAAACATCTTTCTTTGTCCTACATCCAGCATCAGGCTAAGTGACAACGTCAGAGACTTTGATTCGTGCCCCATCAGCAGGGGCAGGAGTGGGAGGGAAGGATTATTCCAGATCACCCCACGGCTCCATATGGGCGGTATAATATCATTAACGGAGCGCACGGTGGGCTGGCGCGGTGGCCAGCACCGACCACACAACATTGCCGCCCTGGGACGAGTGTAGTGTTATTCGGTCCCATTTGACAGGTGACGAAACTGAGGCATGAAGAGGTGAGGTCACTGGCCAGGGGTCATAGAGGGGGTGAAGGGCAGATTCGGGGCTGAAACTCGGGCCTCATGTCAAAACTCGTGAAAAATTGAGGGAAGGATCGAGTACACGAGTGATTGAATGGGGGGGAGGGGGCGGCAGAGTAGTATTCTAGTTATCGAGGATTTGGGCTTCCCCTACGAGGGGCGCGCAGACCGACAGCAGGGGCCTGCCCGGGGTCCCCGTGGGTGGGGGTCGGGGCGGTGAGCTGACCCACTGACCGTCTCTCTGCTGGGCCGGCGTGCGGGGTTGCTAATGCAGGGTCAGGTGGCAATGTTGGAGGGGCTCCGCCAGTTCCCGGCCAGCGTTTCTGGCCGTCGGTTTCCGGCCCCTTCCCTGCACTGCACTGTGGGAGCCCCAGGGGGTAGGAGCCACTTCCCGGCTAGGCCTGGCCTGGGAGGGGGCTCCAGGTTGCGCCTCCTCTGCCCAGGGCGCAGACGCCGGCTGCACCGCCAGGTTGTTTTGCCCTTCGCTTTGCACCGGGCGCTGTTGGCTCCAAGTCCGAGCTGGTGGGGGAGGCGGGTGCTCCCCCCTCCCCTCCCTCTCTTTCCACCCGTCCCTTCCCATTCCCCTGCCCCATCAACCCCGCTCTCTCCCTGGAACAATGGAGGGGCTTGTGGCCTACACTGTGTCAGCCTCTGGCTCATGCTGGGCCTCTCTGGCTTCCAGGGTCCCTCCTGTCCTGGCTCAGCTGACCCACTCAGCCCCTTGGCCCACGGGCTGGCACTTCTGCCCATCTGGGGCTCAGCCAGGCTGGAGGATGTGTATGGGATCCCTGCCTCAGTTTCCAAAAGAGGACCCACGTCCACTGGGGTAACCTGTGACTCACCTAGAGCCCCTCCCCCTCCATTTCCTTTGCACCCTCTTACACTGGGTTCCAGCCCCAGCTCTGCCATCCTGACAGACATGTGGGCAAGTCAGTTAACCTGTGCTACTCAAAGTGTGGTCTGGGGGCCAGCAGCACTGGGGGCTTGTTGGAAATGCAGTCCCAGGGCCCACCCCAGAGATTCATGGGCATATTAAAAGTGAGATGTGCTGGCTTAAACCTGTCTGTGTCTCAGTTACCTCCTCTGTAAAGTGGGGTAATAAAAGCGCCTCCCTGTTGGGTTGGTATGAGGATTCATGGGTTAAGGCAAGTAACCCCCAGCGCAGGCCTAGCATAGAAGTTGGTGGGCGGTGGATACCCCTCACTGCCTGCCCCCTCCCCGCTGTTGGTGTGGGCTAGTGCCCATCCCCAGCTGCTGGCAGGGGCCTAGCCCTGGGGCTGGGAGGTGGGGCTGGGAGAGGTCCCACCACCGTGCCCATCCCTGGCCTCCCCCAGCCAGAAACTCATGGAAAGCTCAAGATGCCCAGTTTTGCAGAGCAGGTTTGGGGAGGTTGTGGCCATGTTAGAATGAAGCCTCCAACCTGAACCCAGCTCTTGCTCCCCTGCCTGTCATGCCCCTGCCTTCGAAGAAGGCTCTGAAGCACCCACCAATGGAGCTTTGAGGAGTGAACTGCAGATTCCCTCTCACTAAGACCGATGGCGCTGTTGCGAAGGCTCCCCATGCCTGGCTTCTGGCTCCAAAGAGCTCTGTCCTTGACAGGGTGGGCTCTCGGGCAGAAAGGGCCAGAAGGGAGGTGGGGGGAGGGGGTGCTGGGATGGTGGATAATGAGGCCCTGCAGGATGGAGTTCTGAGCACCCCATAATAGGGGTGGGCTGGGGAAGGGTTGGGAAGGCCAGAGCCTGGTGCGGGACGTGGGCAACCTCATTCCCTGCCTGAACAACCCGAACCTTCCAGGAGGACCTCCTGAGTGGCCTATGGAAAATTCCCAGGCTGTTTTGGCCTGAGGCCCCCTTCCCCTGCCCTTTCCCAGGGCGGAGGCAGGGCCCTGCTGGCACACCTCCCTGGGGGCAGTAGGGTGAGTGGCTTCCTGGAGCTCCCCTACCTGGGCCCCCGCCCCTGGCCGGGCACTAATCAGATGGGGGGGCCATGGCCAGCTGCTTTAAATGTGCAGCCCCTCACCCAACACTTGCATTTCCCTGCTTCCTTTCCCGCCCCCCCCGCCCCCCCACCGCCACTTCCCACTGTCTGACACACTATGCATTTCACGTTGATTTATTAGCTGTGAGCCTGGGCAAGTTACTTGACATGTGGGTCTCAGTTTCCCCGTCAGTAAAATGGGCTGACATGAGCTGAGCTGTGTAAAGTGCTCAGAACACTGCCTGGTCCCATAGCCATCTACACTGCTGTGATTGTGGTGACGGGAGTCTTCTCCCCACTCCCGCCATTGAACAGAAGCTTCTCGAGGGCAGGAATGTCGCTGTCTTGGTCTGCATCATTTCCTGTACAAAATCAGCGGCTCGGTAACTGCTCCTTGGATAGGGGGCAGATGTCTAGTGGGCACATTCCTCCAGGGCCTCTGGTGCCAGCGCAGGGGGGTGTGCTGGGAGGCGCGGCACTGCCGGATCCACAGGACGAGCCCCTGCACGGACACACGTGTGCATGTGGGTTCAGATGCGTGGACAGCTCCAGAGAGCTGTGTGTGCACACTTACATGTGCACAGATACACACCTATGTGCATGTATAGACACAGGAACACAGATCCGTGTGAACAACCGTGGGGGAACACGTGCACACACTGCACAGCAGCCCCGACCTGCTGTGGGCTTGGGTTTGGCTCCGAGTTTGCTGTGGCCAGAGGCCCGTGGGATCTGGCCTAGAGCCCGCCTGCGGGCCCAGCCTCCCCACCCTACTGAGGGGAGTCGATGGGTGCACAGGTAGGCACAGAGGGTGGGCCCTACCTCGCCCAGGGGACACTCCAAGGCCAGGCCTGGTGTTGCTGGGGTAGCAGTTGCCAGCGGCCTGGCCCATGCTGGAGGGAAGGGCTGTGGCTGCTGCGTGCCCTCCCCACCTCATGTGTCCAGGGGACAGCAGCAGGGCCCCAGAGCTGGCTCCTGGGTGACTGTTGTCTTTGCTGCTAGACTTTGACCTGGCGCGGCCCCTCCTGCTGGCCGGCTGGGTGGTGGGCGGCTCTTGGCCAGGCCTGCTCTGGCCACCCCAGCCCCTTTCAGAGCCCATACGGGCCATGAGAGGCTAGTGGGGTGGTGGTTAAGCACCCCCCACCCCAGTCCCTTGTGCTCTCTATGCCTGTTTCCTTCACTGTCGAGTGAGCATGAATGTTGGGGCCGGACTGTGCACGTCGTCTGTCTGCATGTGTGTGTACACGTGCAGCCTGATGAGCTGCGCACGTGTGCACACGTGTGTCCGACTGTCTGCATGTGTGTGTGTACACAGTGTGTGCAGGCATGTGCACGTGTGTCTGCACACGTGTGTCTGGGATGGGGATGTCTATGCAAGGTGCTTAGCACATACCAAGCCCCCAGGAAATGCCAGCCAGTTCTAATTCTGGTTAAGAGCTAATTTTGGGGTCATTCGCTGAGACCCTGCTCCGTGCCAGCCCGTGTGCTGAGCCTTGGGGACTTAAGGGACCAGTGCTGGCCTCAGCCTGCTTACTCTTCCAGCCACGGCCTCCACTGGCACCTCTGCGGGACTGGGTGCATCTCGGGGGTGGAGGGGTGGGAACGGAGAAAGGGGCCCTCAATTCATGCGTGCTTTATTAACCCAGGCAGAGGTGGGCCCAGGAGGGGGCCTGGGGACAGACAGACGGGCAGATGGGTGCAAAGAAAGGAAGCCGCACATTGCACGTGATGGTGATGATGATGAGCCGTGTCCACCTCCTGCCTCTCACCGCCTCCATCTGCAGGGCCCACCTCACAGTCTCCTTGCTGGTCCTTCGCCGCCCCGTGGCCCTGGCCAACCTCTGGATCTTTGCACAGGCTGCTCACCTACCTGGCAGAGCCTGCTCCACTTCTCAAATGCTTGACTCTTTCCTCTTCGTTCAGATCCCAGCTCATACCTTCCTTTGAGTAGCACCTCTACCCTGTTACTTCTTATCCGTTTTATTTCTTAACGGCCCTTTGGCAGTCGGTAATGATGCTTGTTTACCTGTTTATTTTCTCTCTGCAAGTTCAGCCCTGTGTGTGAAGTGCAGTGAACAGGGCCTGCTACCGGGTACATATTTGTTGAGTGACTCTATGATGATGATTATAATAACAATAATAGCTGACGATTATTGGGTGCTTGTTCTGGGCGGATGATGTGCCAAGTGCCTAGCATGTATTATTTCATTTCAACTTCACGACAGTGGTGTGAAGTAAGGACTCTTACAATCCTCATTTTCTAGATGAGGAAACCGAGGACCAGAGAGGTTAAGTAACCTGCCCAAGATCACACAGCTGGCAAGTGGTGCGATTTGACGTTCGATGCACCTGACCCTAGAGGAAAAGCAGGAGGCAGACTTGGCTAGAAGAGGCGAGAGCAGTTTTCTGCCTCTCCCTGGTGTCACCAAGCCACTGCTGTCCTGTCCCACTGGCTGTGCAAGGAGGCCTGGGTGGGGCCCTGCGCAGAACTCCAGGCCTTGGAACATTCCAGGACTCTATGACCTGTGCTGGTGGGTCATGCTGGAGCCCTGACCCCCGGCTGGGCAGCCGGGGCCTTTATGAGGTGGGGGTTCCCTGGACTCGCGGTCCTCCCTGGCCGCAGCTGAGAGGAGGGATCAGGAGGTAGCCATGTCACTTCCTCCAGAAGGCCAGCGGGCCGCCTTCCTTCCCAGCCGGGCAGAGCTGAGGCCTGACAGGGGAGTGTGGGAGAATGTGGAGGGAGGGGTTTGCCCTCTGGGGGGCCCTTCCCCTAAGGATGCAGGCCTGGCTCCGGGGGTTTGGGTTGGGAGCAGAGGGTCACTGCTAGGTGATAGAGGCAGAAAACTCCAGTACCCCGGGGGCCGTGTGGTTACTATCAGTGAGAAAGGTGGGGGGGGGGCGGTTAGCAAACTGGGGGTTCAGGCTTGTCAGAGCTTCCAGTTTTTAAGGAGTATCTGGAAATGCAGTTTGAGGCTAATGACCTATAGATCACGTTTTATATGTGAAAACCTCATGTGAACAAATAAAGCACATTGGGTGGGCTGAGGGAAGTGGCCTCGCTCTGCCTGGTAGCTCTGGCCCTGACCTCCTGGTCTTGCCTTAGTGTGACCTCGAGTGAACTCAGATCAGGCTCCTCCTCTGTCCTGGGCAGGGACATGTCCCCACCCACTGCCAGCCCTGGGCAGACGGTGTGTGCCACCCACCCAGCGACCCCACTTTACGGACGGGGACACTGAGCCCGGAGAGGGGCCAGGACGTCCCCGGGGCCTTTGCCACCTGTGCTGGTCCTGCGTGACCTTGAGCCAAAGCCTCGTGATGCACGTTCGTTCACTCGGTGGCCGGTGGGCACTGCAGCCACTTTCTGCTCCCGGCACCACTGCTGGAAGCCAGGGAGCAGCTGAGGAGCCCTCTGCTCCAAGCCTGCAGCTGGGCTGGCCACCCGGTGCACGTGAGGGTCTCGGAGGGAATGTGTTGTTGCAGCGGCGGCCCCCAGGCTGGGTGGAAATGCCCTGAGCGCCTGGTGTCTGCCCCTTTGTCATGTCCCCTGCCCTCCAGGCCCCTTGGGCTCCCTGTGGCCCACCAGGCCACCCTGCCCTGGACCCAGCTGGGACAGCCCTCAGGGATCCGAAGGTTGGGGTTATGCCTCTCTTTGGAATGTGTCCCGGAGCTTCCCGGAGGCAGACACCGTGTGCCAGTCCCTTTTATGCCCCTCCCCATGGCGTCTGACACGTAGCAGGGTCAGGATTGGAGTCCCATGGGCTAGGGGCTTTCTGCTCGCCCTCCCTCTAGTCCCCCCCTTTCCTCCTTTTCTCTTCTCCTTCCTTCCCTCCCTCCCCCTCCTTCCTTCCCTCTTTCATTCTTTCCTTCCCTCCTTCGTTCTATCCCCTCCCTCCCTTCCTTCCCTTCTTCTTCCCCCTTCTTTTCTCTCCGTCTCTCTTGCCTTTCACCCTTCCCTTCCTCCCTCCCATAAGTATTTACTAAGTGACCGAGAGTGCTGGGTTCTGCGCTGAGCGCCAGGGACACAGAAGGATGCCCTGGCATTCCCGTGCAGAGCTCCGATATGGGGGTGCCTACGGCTGCACAGACCCAGCGGGGCACACAGGGCAGGACTCTGGAGCAGGTGCCCCAGCCGTGAGCTGGGCTTGCAGGCCACAGCAAGAGGCGTGGGTCTCAGACGGCGGGCTCCAACATGGCCTGAGCCCCTGAGAGCCCCCTGTCTCTCCCCAGGTCAGCCATGTCATCCGAGCCTCCCCCACCGCCACAGGCCCCCACCCACCAGGCTTCGGCTGGGCTACTGGACACCCCGCGGGGCCGGGAGCGCTCGCCGTCGCCTCTGCGGGGCAACGTGGTCCCCAGCCCGCTGCCCACTCGTCGGACGAGGACCTTCTCTGCGTGAGTCTCGGGCTGGATCGGGAGGGGGGACTGGGGGTGCTGGGGGGCCTTCCTGAGAGGTGTCTCCTACCTAAGGCTGAGATCCACTGTGTCTGGCCAGTGCTGGGCCTCAGTATTCCTATCTGTCAAATGGAGAGCCTTGAGCAGGGTGAGGGAGGACAGCCAGAGAAGCTGAGGAGGTGCCCTGTGACATCCAGAGGGCTCTGGCCCAGGCCCCCAGAACCTGTCCTGAGTGGGGGTGAGGGGTGGGTGTAACAGGTGGGAAACCTCTGCCTTCTTAAAACCACCAGGCTTTACCCACTCACAAGCCTCTTCCCCTTTAGGACCTCGATGTCCTGAGCTGCAAGATAGGGACAGTGGCGGGTGGCCATGGGCGTTAAAATGGAGTTGTCAAGTGCTGCCCACCCAGTGTCTGACAGACGCAGGTCTGGAGCCCAGGGAGTGGGGGGGCCTGCTGCTGCTATTGATAGTTATTAATAATGAGTCCCCTGGGTGATGCTCAGAGATGTCTTAGTCCAACCACTCTTTCCACATGGGGAGACTGAGGCCCAGAACCTTCCCAGCGTCACCCAGAGAGTCAATCTTGCAGAGCTGGGTCCTCTGGCGTCTGTGGGAGAGCCGTGCAGTGTACAACCTGACCAACTGTGCACAGCAGCCCTGGCCAGGACTCGCCGGGCACAGCTGTGGGTGGGGGCTGGGACCAGCTGCCCCGGGAGAGCATGTGGCTGTCCTGGAGGGCTGGCATGGGGTGCGAGGGGCCCCTCACGTCTCTTCCCTGTCAGGACGGTGCGGGCTTCCCAGGGCCCCGTCTACAAAGGAGTCTGCAAATGCTTCTGCCGGTCCAAGGGCCACGGCTTCATCACCCCGGCCGACGGCGGCCCCGACATCTTCCTGCACATCTCAGAGTGAGTCAGCAGCTGGGCTGCGTGGTGCAGGCGTGGCCTGGGCTCCGTGGGGGTGGGGGCAGCGTGCGGTGGGGCGCCGGGGGTGACAGTGTAATGACAGCTGTGTGCAACTTGGCATCTGACTGTCTGACCCTGTCCCTGTGTGTGACTGCATGACTAGTGGGGATGGGGGTGGGATTGTGGCTGTGTCCGTGTGGGAGGCTGGGGGTGACAGTCCTAATGGGGTTGTCACTGTGTGTGTGATGTGATTGTGTGTGCATGTGTGGACGTGTGGGCGTGTGGTGAGCACGTGTGCGCAGGCGAGTGTGAGTGAATGTGTGGTGTGTGTGTGTGAGCGAGAGCAAGAGGCCCACGGGGGTGGGCTTGAGTGGCCGTGTGCATCTGGTGGATGGGGAGGGGTGTCATTTGGGGAGTCATGCCCACCCTGGTGGTTGGTATCCTGCCGCACTCGAGGGAGCAGCCTGGTGAGGGTGGCTGGGGGCTGCCAGCCCCTCTGTTCCAGGAAGGAAGTTTGGGGACAGGTCTTTCTCCTGCCACTTGCTCACTGACGTGCTTCCTTCCTGAGTGTCTGGAACCCTTGGAGTCCCAGGCAGGGCTTTAGGATAGCCACCTGGGCCCGCACGTCCCCCCTCAGGCCAGGAAGGTGTGGAGCCAGCCCGTGCCTCGTTGCCACTCTTCCAGGCAGCCTGCGAGTATGCAAGGACCCTTAGTCTTTGGCCTGTGCACCCCAGTTCTACCCCCCAAATCTTTCATTTCAGGCTGCAGGAGGCCAAATCCCACCCTACACACAGCACATTTGACAAAGAACAGAAACCACACTTTGAAAATAGGATCCTGTTGCAGATTGTCTGCTGCGATAGAGTTACCCCCCTTTAACACCCTCCTCAGCGTTCTTACATATCCTGTCTGTTTAAAGTAAGGCCCACTTCTACAGTGCAGACTCCAGAAAGATACTAAAGCGATACATTTTATGTGCGTATGAATGCATGCATGGATGTGTAAATTTGTTTACACATTGTATCTTTCCAGAAAGGATTAGCAGTGGTTTACAAAGATATACACAGTGCAGCAGGAAAAAATAAGTTATAAGGAAAACATGGAGTGGGGGGGTGCAAAGAAGACAGATGGAGGTACTGCGATGCCTAGCTCTGCTGCCAAAACGGGGCTGCCAATCTATTTCTGAGCTTCCTGGTGGCCAAATCAAAGAGGGAAGCACGATTAGCGATAAAATTCTCTAATCTAAACAAACCAGTTCCCAGGGAGCTAGCTGGCCTTGGTGTTTGGGGTCTGAAGGGGATTCCTTCCTGGGCTCTCATCAAGGGGCCCATCACGTCGTATTGGTGAAATGGAGACTCATACCCCATAGAAAGTAAAGGACCTTCCCAGGGTGGCCACGAGGGAGAGAGCCCCTACCTGGAACCAGCTTTAAGCACAAAAGGGGCTTTTTGGAAGGCTTATTGGGTGTTATGAATTCATGAACAGAGACACGGCTCAGTTTCAGGGACTCCTAACCTTAGGAAACCGTTGCCCTGGCCTTCTCTCACCTCTGCTTCTCCTTCTGTGACTGCCCGTCCTGTCTGGCGCAGACCGGCTCCCTGCTCTTCCATCCAGCACGCAGCCCCCATGTGCTCATGTCATGGGGTGAGCCCTCAAAGATGGGTGGAGCTCTTCTCAGTCCCAGCATCGACATTCCCAGGGAAGGAGCTTGTGTTGGTTTCTTCTGGCAACAGACATTTATTTTCTCACAGTTCTGGGAGCTAAAAGTCCGAAATTAAAGTGTCGGCAGGGCCCTGCTCCCTCCAGTCTCTATGGGATGGATCCTTCCTGGCCTCTTCCAGCTTCTGGCAGTCCTTGACTTGTGGCAGCATCATCCCATCTCTGCCTGTCTTCACATGGCCGTCTTCCCCCTGAATCTTCTCTTTATACAAGGACCCCAGTCATGGGATCAGGGCCCACCCTACTCCAATATAATCTCATCTTAACTAATTACATCTGCAAAGACCCTATTTCCAAACAAGGTCACATGACAGGTACCAGGAGTGAGGAGCTGAACGTATATCTTTCTGGAGAACACAAATCCACCCACAACAGAGCTGACATTGAATGGTGGGGCTCCCCCCGGTGGAAGGGCAGAAGGAGCAATTCCTAGGAAGGGGTGCAGGGGGGCCAGTCAGATGGAGGCCACTCTGCTGGGAATGGCCTGGTGGCGTGGGACCGGGAGGTGGCTGGCGTCTGGGTGTGGTGCTCTGGGGGGCCCTCTCGGCTGGGGCGGGCACCAAGCACTGTCTCCCCACCCCACAGCGTGGAAGGAGAGTACGTCCCAGTGGAAGGCGACGAGGTCACCTATAAGATGTGCTCCATCCCACCTAAGAACGAGAAGCTGCAGGCTGTGGAAGTGGTCATCACCCACCTGGCACCGGGCACCAAGCACGAGACCTGGTCTGGGCACGTTGTCAGCTCCTAGGAGACCTCGGGCGCCCCTTCTCCTGGGCTTGCGGGAGACTCTGGGGGAGGAGGAGGCCAAGCAGAGATGGCGTTGTACGGCGAGATGGGGCTTCCGAGCGGCACAGTCCCTTTCGAGTTATCTCTGGTGGAAGGGGCGTGGGAGCCGGGGCCAGGGAGGGGGGCTGTTGCAGCCACCAGTACAACTTCTGACCATCGCAACAACCTCTCACCATCTGAAAAGCATTAAAGGCATTTAAAAAAGAGAGGCGCCCGCTGGTGGCTGAGTGGAGGGTCCTTCCCCAGCAGCCCGGAGAAGCCGGCTCAGCCCTCTGGAGTTGGCGGCTCAGAGACCCCAGGCCTGGCCCACTGGGGGCCTGTGTGACCTCTCGGATGGGTTTCTACCTGCGTGCCCCTCTGTGTCTCTCCTCGGGCCTGGGGGAGCTGTCTTCGGTTAATTTCTTGGCTTAGTTGGATTGAAGGGAGCTGGGGGGAGGGAGGCCTTCACCTTTTGGTGCCTTTTTGCAGTGGTCGGCGCTGGGAGGCTGGATTCTAACTGCTCTTCGAGGCCTGGTTGGGGGAGGTGATGGAGCGGGCAGCGGGAGGGGTGGGACAGGGTCTCTGTTTAAAACCCTTTCTCTGGGTCCACCTAGAAAAGAGCAGGTGGCTTGCTTCCTGACAGCCTGGTAAAGACAGAAGCTGACAGTGAAGGACACCTTTGTGTACTTTAAGACTTGTGTTAAGAAATGTTTGGGGATTTTTTTTTTTTTCTAATAACCGAGGCTCCTCCCCCACCCCCCACCCAGGAACAGCAATGTTTGCAAACCTTTGTAGATATTTTCAGTAAACAAATCCTTAGGGTTTTCTTTGCTGTGGTTTGGTTTGGCTTTAGTTGTGACTGGAATGTAGAAATAGCTGAACTATGTTTCGAAACGCATGGCCCATGTGTGGTAAGGGGTCCGTTTGCTACCGCGGGGAAGGGGACACGTGAGAACAGTGGCTCTGGGACAGAAGCCACCACCGTTGTGGGTGGAAGAGGAGGATTATTTGAGGCTGGAAGCACTGACGGCCTCAGCCCGGGCTCTTTCTCTCTGTGGACGCGTTTGTTGTTTCAGCCTATGAATGGCTTCGTGTGAAAGGGGGTGGAGGGCTAGAACTATTTTGCTGATGACTGGTGGGGTGTTTTAAAATGAGCCAATAAGCGTGTAGATTATGTGTGTGCAGTCAAACATATAAACTGTCACTGCTGCAGTTCAGTCCTCAGGAGTCAATCCATTCCCCTCCCCCCTTATGACCTTTGAAGGAGCCCCTGGGTGGCTCAAAAAGATAAGCGCTCAGCTATTAACCTAAAGGTTGGCAGGTTGAACCCACCCAGAGGTGCCTCAGAAGAAAGGCCTGGCGATCTGCTTCTGAAAGGTCACAGCCTTGAAAACCCTGTGGAGCACGGTTCTACTTTGCCTTCTGCTGGGTCAAAAGTGTCCTGCCTCTTCCAGCCTTGGGTTTTTCCCCAGTCAGCTCCTTGGAGCCTCTCTGTCTGTGGGGTACAGACCACACTCTCCAGAGCCCCTTCTGCCAAAACCTCTTTGAGCCTTCGACTTTGCCCCATTCTCCCCTGGGCATCTAGGGCTTTGCCACAAAGTCCAGCCCCTAGGACCCCACACACAGGTGCTCCCCCGGGCGCTGTCCGACGTGAGCTGGGAATCAGATTCCCTGTTCAGAGGCGACCTTGGGATTCACCACTTGGCCCTGGCTCCATGCTTCTGTGTGCTCCCTACACGGCCACATCGTTTCGGTCAGCCAATGAGTATTCCAGAACTGCAGGGTGTTGGAGCTGGGCGGGATCCCCTCCTTGAGTGAGCACATGAGCACACAGCTTCAGTTCACAAGCAGGAAACTCGTCGAGGATCTGCGGGAGGGGCGGATGCTGTTAGAGACAGCTGGGAACAGAACCCAGGGTTCCCAAGTCCAGGCCTTTCCCCCCATTGGCCACCTTTCTCTCAAAATGAAGTCCGTTGGGTGCGGGGCTCCGTGTTGTTTGTTCTTGTGGCACTGGCTTCCTCAGGAGCGTCCCTTTAAGCTGCAGGCAGGTGAGGGCATGTCCACAAACGAGGCTGACACAGCCTTCCCGCTTTGTGGCCTGGTGTGTTGGGGTGAATAAGGAGATGGGACCATCCCTTTTTCCTCAGTCATCATTCGCGAGGGCGGCAAGGCGTAGCTGTGGAACGTGGCTCGTAACAACAGAAAAACAAAACGCTGTTTACTTGGCCTCTCGTGGATAAATGTCGACATTAATGAAGCATGTTCGATTTTATCGTAAGTGCGAGAGAGTAACCTCATTTCTGCCGTACACCTGTGGTAAGCAGGGAAGTGTCGCCACGTCCAGACTGAATATGAACTTGAGTTTGCTGTCAGCAGGCCTTGTGCAGTACAGACCTTTGCTGCCTGCAGGCTTGCCTCTCCAGGCACTGAAGAGAGGAGGCTGGACCCCCGTCAAGGATCTCACCCATTAACCCACTGCCACTGAATCGATTCCGACTTATAGGACCCTATAGGACAGAGTACAACTGCCCCATAGGGTTTCCAAATCTGTCATCTTTATGGAAGCAGACTGCCACATCTTTCTCCCAAGGAACCGCTGATCTTTTTGTTAGCAGCTGAGTGCTTAACCACTGTGCAACCAGGCCTCCTTTGAGGATTCCACAGGCTGTGAAATCTGTCGGGTGAGCACTAGAGTGGATGCCTCCCCTG